CCCCCGCCCCCATATGAACCCCGGCATTGGGCTCTGTGCTGACAGCTTGGAGCCTGAAGCCGGCTTCAGTTTCTGTGTCTCTGTCTCTCTCTGCCCTCCCACTCATGTATGTCTCTCTTTCTCTCTTTCTCAAAAATGAATAAACATTAAAAAAAAATTTAAATCGTGAGCCAGGCACCCTGGTTGGGTGATGCCGGGTACCAAGAGCCCAGAAGGCAAGTCCCACCCCAGATCCTGCCCTCTGTACTTATGTGACACAAGGGAGTGTAATGTGGTGGCTAAGTGCACAGACTGACTTAAGTCCTGGCTCTGACCTCACCGGGGGACCTTGGGCCAGTTACTGAACCTCTCTGTGCCTTGGTTTCAGAGATGATGCTCGCTGTGATAATACCTCCCTTGTAGTGTTACAGCGAGAATTGATTCATGTAATGCACTTAGAACAGTGCATGGCACATAGTAAGCCCTAGTCGGGCATTTGCTCTTATCTTACGAAGGCTGATGAATTACACACCTAAGTAGCACGTGCCAAACATCCCCTGTGCTCCAGGGATCCTGAGAACAGAGCAGACCCTGTGGCTGGGCTGTTCTATGAGGGCTTCCAGGGGGCAGAGGTGCTGCCTTGGGAATCTGCTGGGGTGGAGAGACTAGAGAGATTTGGAGAGGTAGATGGGAATTTAAGGGCCAGAAATAGCAACCTAAGTGTTTGAACTCACTCGGCCCCCTTCCATCTCTTTGCTGCCCCCACCACATGCCCTCCCTACCCCATACACCCTCATCTTCCTATCTCCTGACCCAGCTTCTCTCTCTTCCCACCTCCAGCTTTCCGGAAGGTCTCTAACACGGTCTATGCGAAAGAAGGGGAGCAGGTGGAGTTTTCCTTCCCGCTCAACTTCGAAGATGAAAACCTGATGGGGAAGCTGAGGTGGAAGGCAGAGGGGGCTCCCTCCTCCCTGCTCTGGATCTCCTTCACCTTGAATAACAAGAAGCTATCTGTGAAAGAGGTTGACCAGTACTCCAAACTCCAGATGATGGACTCACTCCCGCTCCGCTTTACCCTGCCCAACGTTTTGTCTCGTTATGCCGGTTCTGGAAACCTGACCCTGGTCCTTGACAAGGGACAATTGCAGCAGGAAGTAAAACTCGTGGTGATGAGAGGTGAGGAGTTAGGCCGAGCAGCAGAGGGGAGGGGCCGAAGGTGGAGGGGTGAGGCCCAGCAGGACAGGCCCGGTGGCCCGACAGAGCTGATCCAGGGTCTTCTGGTTTCAAACTGAGACTGGAGTCCCCATGTCCTTCCTTGACCTCCATGAGCCGGCCTGGGGTGGGATCTGCTGAGAATCCCCAAAGGGCATGAGCTGAGAACCAGGGTTCTAATTCTGCCTTCAGCCAACCCTCTATGATCCTGACTGAGCTCCCTGCCTCTGTGGGCCTCTTTCTTCTAATGAAGATAACAAAATCTGCTCTTAGGGTGATCGTGATGAGGGTAGTGTCAGGCTACCCGCTGAGCTCTTTGCTTCCTTATCTCCCCCATCATCGTAACTCCACAAATAATCACGGCTAATACTTGCTGCTTAGTACACGCCACACCCACTCCAGCACTTTACATGTGTCTGTGAATTTATTGTGTATTTAACTGTTGTCTGAGGCTTGGTTGTCAGATGACTGCAGGACACAGCAAGCAGTGGGGTTGGGATCCAAATCCAAGACCCTTGGCCTCAAAAGCTGTGTTTGCTTTATACAACCACCATGAAAATGTGCTCTGAGAGGCTCAAGGAAGAGTAGCCATGTAAAGTGTTTTGATTGTTCCACCGAATCCCCTTAGAGCAAGGAGGTGCCAGGAACTCAGAGGTCCAGGCTCCCAGCCTCAGGCTCTTGTCCCTCTGCAGTGACTCAGTCTGGGAACAATTTGACCTGTGAGGTGCTGGGACCCACCTCCCCTGAGCTGACGCTGAGCTTGAAACTCGAAGGACAGGCTGCCAAGGTCTCAAAGCAGCAGAAGATGGTAAGGGTGGAGGATGCCGAGGTGGGAACATGGCAATGTCTACTGAGTCACAAGGACAAAGTCTTGCTGGCATCCAAGGCCGAGGGTGAGTGAGGATCCAGGCTCCATGGCCTAACCCCAAGCCCCTCTCTCTTCATCTGTGGGACCTTCCCCGGGGTTGGTGGACACCACCCAGAGTCCCAGCGCCCCAATCCCTCTGAGACAGGTGGGTTATTCTCACGCTGCCTGGACACACAGGGGCCAGGACGGAAGGCAAGGTGAGGTTCTTACCTGGAGTCCCACAAGTTCCCACTTCCCTAAGCTCTACAACCCTGGAATAGGGCCCACCTGACCAAGAGTCCCCGCCCTGCCTCCTTCCTGACACACGGACACATGGACACACGCACACACGCATGCACTGTATACAGCCTGAAACCGCTGCTTCTAGTCCCCAGGGTGTCCTGTATGGTTTTCAACCCTTAAGGCCCCTTCCCCAGCCTTTCCCCTTCAGCCCTGGTGGATCACGAGAGCCCTGCAAACCCTATCCTGCTCTCCCAGCCCAAGGATGAGACCCAAGCGTAACTGGGCGGTGAGGCCTTCCTAGGGCCCTCCAGAATGCCCGGCCCCCTGACAGCGGGCAGTGAGCTGAACACATCTTTCTCTCTTCAGTTTTGCCTCCTGTGCTCACCAGGACCTGGACAAATCTCTTGACCATCGTGCTGGGCGGGGTCCTAGGCCTCGTGCTTTTCACTGGGCTCTGGGTCTACTGCTGTGTTAAGTACTGGCACCGCAGGGTGAGTGAGCCTCCCCAGAACCCCCTTTCACTTCCCACAGGGCATGTGAGCACCGGAGACCTTTACAGCAACAAGGATCTCCTGTATATGCGACGCACTCGTGCTCTGGCTCTCTCCGCCCGCGCACCGGGCGTGGGAACTCCCTCGCGGGCGACTGGGCCCTGTCCCAGATCCCATGCAGAGGGAGAGACTGGAAAGAGCAAAGGGTTAATTCTGGGGACAGATGGCCTCAGCCACAGTAACTGCTTCTCCTCTCCCAGCTCTCCCCATTCCTGCCTCTAAGGGGCACCTCCCTTCTGGAGGCCTGGGACCCTCATGACTCCTCTCCTTCTTCCTGGACAGCGCCAGGCAGCTCGGATGTCTCATATCAAGAGACTCCTCAGTGAGAAGAAAACCTGCCAGTGCTCCCAGTAAGGAAATGGGTTGAGGGGGCCGGGGAGAGTGGGAAGGGGAAGAGGAGGGCAGGAGTGGGAAAGAAGAAAAAGAGGAGGGATACAGGGGAAGGGGAGGGGGGTTAAAGGGAGGTGATGGATGAGGAAAGAAGGGCACAAGGGGATGTCTGAGGGGCGGGGGGGGGGGG